TGCACTAAAACCAAAATTTAAAAACTTTGTAGTACATTCTCTTCCACTTGCCTTTCTATTTAAAAAATGATTTTCTCTCTAGTAATGGCTTAACAATAAATTGAGAGACTAATTCAAAAGTTTATGAAGTTATTTCATAAACAGACAATTCAATTTAATTTTTTCTTTTATGTTTTCCTTTTTTCCTAAAGAAATAATACGAATATGTCATCAGTTTCGAATGAATATATAATTAACTAGCGCCTCACCGTTGCTTCGCTCGGGTTCACCTCTGGAAAAACAAAAACAAATCTATCTTACGGGAACCGTACATTCTTCCGGGATAAAAAGTAGCCTATATGCTATTTCAAACTATAATCTATCTCTGTGCCAAATTTCATCTAGATCCGTTCAGCCGGGCCTGATTGAGTAACAAACATCCATCTAAACATCTAAACTTTCATATTTATAATATTCGTATGATAAAGCAGACATATCAGGGTTCTAAATTTTTTTCAATAAACTTTATGACTTTTGAACGGCAAGGATCCTAAGCAAAATATTTTGAATGGTTTTGTTATTCGTACTTATGTTTTTTAATTAACCAGGATAAAAATGAGAAGCTTCGTCTTTCAGCAATATTGTAGGAAAATAATAGTTTGTCTATTTGTAATTGTCAAATTATTACTGTACTTCTCTTAACATTACAAGTTTGACGTAACAAAGCTTGAAGGAGTCATACATTCATACAGATAGTTTTCTAGTTTATATATATATATATATATATATATATATATATATATATATATTACCAGAAAGTAAAGATCATATAATAAGCATCACAACTAAGCAACGAATATATTCGTTGGTCGTTGGTTCGAAGAAAACAAAAAATATAATTGATTATAATGTTACAAATGGAAATCATTGAGTTCTAAATGCGGTAAAATGTTTGATAGTCATACAGTTTTCTTCGATAAGATTAATACGTATCGAAACGTAATTGTAATAGAGTGTACTCAAGACTCTGAGTCATAAGCGTTTGAAGAGGAATTTCCACACACAAGTAGTAGAAGTAACTGGAACTTGAAACAAGAACAATAATTATCTGTATAAATGATATAAATGTGAAAGTTTGTAAGTATGGATATTTGTTACTCTTTCATGCTAGAATGGCTAAACGGATCTGGATAAATTTGGCACAGAGATAGATTATAGTCTGGAATAGCACACAGGCTGTTTTTTATCCCGGAAAAATAAACGGTTCCCGAGTGATAGATTTGTTTTTGTTTTTAATTTTATAATAATTATAATTCATTTACAAATGTTACTTGAAGTTATGAATTCTTTTTATTAAGTTACAATAGTTTTGAACAAAAAAAAAATTAAAAAAAATTGTGAAATCAATGTCAGATTGATTGATTGATGACCGATTACAAAAACTTAAGAAAAACCCGACCAAAAAAACACAAAAAAGTTAAAAGTTTTTATTTTTCCCTTTTAATGTATACATAGTAGTAGCAAAGTAAGAAGAAAGTATTTTAATAAAACATTTGCTTATGCCGTTAAAGCTAATTTGATACAAATTTTTATATGCAGACTGACAAACTAAAATTCGCTTTTATTAGGAACACTAAAAAGTCTGGCTCTAAAATCTAATTCTAAAGTATTGGTCTTGTCAAACCAAACAAAATAAGCCCAAGCCCAAATTTCTAGCCGTTGAGGAGGTCCACCTACCCACCTTCTGGCCTTATCATCAGATCAGGTCGACGATACCAAACCAAAAAATGCACTTTTAAAACAAAACAAAATATATAACGATAATAAATAACGACGTTCTAAGGTAACAAACATAATAAAAGCATACTGCCGAAATGAGAACCTCCTCCTTTTTGAAGAAGTTGGTTGATAAAATTATTATATGATATTATTATTATCTAATATTATCTGATTTTAAAATTGTTAAAACTAAAGACAATAAATAGATTAGAAGTGTTTAGCATACTTTTATATCTATTTTATCTATTCTAATATTATAAGGAGGAAAAAATTATTTAGTTTGTTTGTGTCGAATAGGCTCTGAAACTACTGAACTGATTTAGATGAAATTTGGCAAAAAAATATTGTGTGACCCTGGGAAGGACATAATATAGTTTTTATCCCGGAAATCATCTCTTAAGGGAGTGAAAATGGGGGTTAAAGTTTGTATGGGGAAACAACCCGAGACGAACCCGAGTGAGTCGCTAAAATAAAATGGGAAAAATCCATATTACATACATATTACCCATATACTAGTGACTCACCTTCGCTTCGCCTGGGTTATTATAAATCGAATATATAACATGACATGCTTTTTAAGAATAAATTAAAATCATGTCACGCTTAAAATGTATACATATTTTTATGTACTAATGACTCACCCTCGCTTCGCTCGGGTTTGTCCCTAGCTTGCTTCCTCATACAAACTTTCATCCTCATTCTCACCTCCATAAGAGATGATTTCCGGGATAAAAACTATTTTACTCACTCACTTTTCATAAGATTTAAAAAAAATCTTATTTTAGTAAAAAAACTTTCTTTTAATTTTTTTCTATACAAAACATCCTGACAATAACAAACACAAAAAAATATATCCAATTTGGTGCAGTCGATCCGAAGCTATGTGCGTACATACATTTCGATGAATCATTTTTATTTATATAGATTAGCATTTAAGTACCTATATTTTTTTCTATGGAAATATACTCGCGATCCGCTTGTATCATGAACGAATTATTTAACTTGGTACAACTAAGATGAAAAGTATCTAATATGTTACCTAATTAAGAGCCCACAAATTTTCTATAAGAACTTCTGCAATATGCCTATATTTCTTTCTATATCTATCGATAATTTCAATAGATTGATTATTTTCAAAAGAAATTTAGTACAAAACATACTATACCTTTATTTTAGTTCGGTTATATTTTTTCGTACTACTTTACTTAAAATTAATTCAAGGACAAGTCAAAGATTGATCACTGTCAACATCTATAATTCTAACAAAATGTATACCCACCAAATCGATTTACCAAATCCAAACGAGGTACCCTACGTAACGAAAATTGAATTTTTTAAGCCATACAAGGCTTTTATGTAGTGTATTTTCTAGTTTTATTTGTGGAAACATTTTGGTAATAATTTAGCGGTGCGGGTGGCTGGTTCAAATAAAAGTCGAAAAAATGTCACTACCGGCCACATGCGCTTTTGGGCCTACGTTAGAGCAAACTTTCGGTCTATTTCTACATATGACAGCTACTAAATGGATTTCTAGATGACTACAATATTTTATATTTTGCTTATTAATTCTAGGAATAAATTCTGATCTGACAAATAAAGTACGTAAAATACCAAAAGATAATATTTATTGTTTTAATACTAACTAACCCTTACTTTCTTCGGTTACGTCTCTAGGTACGTTAAATAGATAAAAATAGTTGTGAGTGTAAGAGATAGATAAATGCTATTGCGGACTGTTTGGGTGTACTTCTTAAGGTTTAACCAGTTCTAGCCATGTAAATTTCGAAAGGACGATTCGCCACAACCAGTTATTGTGTTTTCTCGTAGGAAAGTGTACATACTCGTATGTAGATAAACAAACAAACACACGTATAGATAAACAAACAAGAATTATAATTATTATTATTTTGGTGTCTATATTCTGTACACAATACGTAGTAGTCATTGTTTCTATAAAATATCATATACAGTTTTTGTTTTTTTACTATTTTATTACAATTCTAGCATTGCCCGCGGCTACGCCCGCGTTCAGATGACCAAAAACCAAATTTTTAGGCTTTACATATTAGTATACTCTTACATTGCAGTTTTTGTATTTTATCTCAAAAATGAGATATTTTCCCGCGGTAAAAAGTATCTTATATATTGACCCTGATAACCAGCTATCATCATACCAAATTTCATCAAAATCCCTCCAGTGGTTTTTCTGTGATGCGGTAACAGACAGACAGAAAGACAGACAGACAAAAATTCTAAAAACTATAGATTCGGCCTCTGTATCGATAATAATGTTTATTTCAAATAGATTTTCCAAGAAATATGTACTGTACAGATTCGGCTTGATAACAATTTTATTATATGTATAGATTATGTTTTTAAGACCACATGATTAATAGTAGGTACTCTGTTTGATAGTGCTATTATGTTTTGACGGATATGGATGAAAAATTCAGAGATAAATGACCTTTATTTAACGTTGGGAGATGCATTAATTCATATCACCTTCATATATACAGGTGGTTATGTGGGATTCATCGACTAGGCAAGTAAGTACCTAAGTAGTCAGTCTGTAGTGAAAATATTTAAAAAAAATATATAGGTATATTTCTTTTTTTAATCAGCAAGAAAAAATATAGGGTAATAAAACCTACATAAATTTATTAGAACTATGTCAAGTTAAGCAAACAAACAACCTAGTGCCGTATATTATTATACTAGCGACTCACCCTCGCTTCGCTCGGGTTCATCCCTAGCTTGCTTTCCCATACAAACTTTCATCCCCATTTTTACATCTTTAAGGGATGATTTCCGGGATAAAAAGTATCATATGTCCTCTGCTAGGGTCTCAAACTATCTTCTTACCAAATTTCATCTAAATCGGTTCAGTAGATACAGAGACTATCCCCTCAGACACTCACAAACTTTACCTCTTTATAATATTAGTATAGACAATTAGGCATTACATTCTAACATTAGTATCTCCATTCAAACCCCTTAAAATATTAAGTCTTTAATATAAAAATATGATAAAAAATGTCCTCAATATTAAATAATTTGAAGTAGGAATGATAAGTGATAATCCTAATAACAAAAGAGTGTTATCACTATAGAGTTGTTTTTCAAGACCAGACGATAAACAATCGTTTTAAAAGTAGCAAACATCCTTATAATATTCCATTAGATACAAATTACATACTAAATTAATTTGTTGATCAAAAATGAAGGTTTCAGTGATATCAATAATGTGTGTCACTTTTGTGTGTGTTACTTTTGTGACTCATGTCGCGTTTGCGGAAGAGAGTAAGTATTTTGTAGACACTATTTTAGCATTATCTTTTAAAAAAACCCCTACGCAAATTAATTGTCATTTAACGATTACACTGGCACGCGTGAAGCACTTAATCGAGTAATCATACGCCAAAATGCCTTACATCATTTTGGAAAACAGCTAATACTCTTACACTGCTGGACCGATATTAACCAAACAGCTAAGAACCACCGCAAGAAATCTGGCTTTCAAATAAAAAAAACCGCATTGAAATTGGTCCATCCGTTTGAGAGCTACGATGCTACAGACACACACACACACACACACACACACACAGGCAGACAGAAATCGACGTCAAACTTATAATTCCCCTCTTTTTGCGGTCGGTGGTTAATAAAACGGATAAACTGTGATTTTCAAATACATATTACACATATTTATTTGTCAAAAAAGGCTCTGTAAATAATACTACCATAAGGACTCTTATTACTTATGATGGTCCTTCTCTTATAAAACTTGACAGTTCTTTGAGAAAGGGCAGATACCCTATTGTAGGATACTGTATGCGTTGGCATTTTGTTCTTTGACCTGTGTCATGTAAGGTAGACAGCACTTATGTGGCAGCCACGTATGTTGTGCTAAAATCTTCCTAAACGATATTGCAACTTGTCTTATCTCTTCTTACGGTAATAAGTTGAGATATGCCCTTAGTATCTTTTACCTCGTCCATTCTTAGCTTTCCACCCTGACTTATCTTTACCAACTTAGATCTAAATGTTTATCAAATTATTATATAACTAATACAAACAATCGCTCATGCCAACCTGGAACCAAACATCTGAATTATATTATGTAAAAATATATTATTTTCTTTAGAGGTCGTCATGTGCTACTATGGAACCTGGGCGACATATAGGAGTGGCTTGGGCAAATTTGACGTTGCCGACATCAACATAGACTTATGCACACACATAATTTACACGTTCGCTGGAATCGATTCTCAAGGAAATGTTATTTCATTAGATCCGTACTTAGATTTGCCTGATAATTCGGGAAAAGGTATATCTTGTTCTTTTTTTGTTTTTTCTTAGCTATAGTTTCGATGTAGTAAAGGTATTATTACTAAAACTATTTTTAAAGGTAAAAGTGTCTTTTCGGATGTTTTCGCAGATTTATTTTGATTTTTGGTTCCCGACGTTTCGAATTCTTTACAGATTTCAGTCTCTCGCGTGATCATTATTACTGTGAAGCATTTGAAACACCGGGAACCAAAATCAAAATAAATCTACGAAAAAATCCGATTAGATGAAAGTATGTATTTAAAAAGTAAGGGTATTTTTATACAGAATATAATTTACTGCTATTTAGGTAATTAAAAGTTAATATATTGTAATGTTTCATACGAGTATGATCAAGAAACATGTGCTTATTATGAAAAAATAAATATTTGTAAAATATCAAATATATATAATTTCAGATAACTTTCGAAAATTCACTTCACTTAAACATCAAAATCCAAACCTAAAAACTATATTGGCAGTTGGAGGATGGAATGAAGGATCTGCAAAGTATTCAACAGTAAGTAAGATTTAAATTGTCATATCTTTCTAATCATCCAATTTACCTAACAATTCTATATTTTTGACCCTATAGATGGCAGCAAGTTCGGCACTTAGAAAGAATTTCATAGTTAGTGCATCAAAAATTGTCCAAGAGTACGGCTTCGATGGCTTGGACCTTGACTGGGAATACCCTAACCGTCGCGATTCTGTCAACGGTCAGAAAGATGTAAATAATTTCTCACAACTTTTAAAAGAATTAAGAGAAGAATTTGAAAAACATGGACTAATATTAACGGCTGCAGTATCTTCGGTAAAGGATGCAGCATCTCTATCTTATGACATACCTACTATTGTTCAGTAAGTGCTATAATCTGTAGAAATCATTTGATCACCATCAAAATTCTTGTTCAAATCAATAACAAGGTATACCTTATACATTTGAAGACAACATTAAAAAATCTAGAAAAACATTAACTTCTTAAGATCGGTTAACTTTCAGTTAATTTTGAAACCGTTTCGGGTTACCGTTTCAGTAGGTATTCTATTAATAATATAAAACTTGTATAATTACAAGTTGTCTATTGTAATGCTCGAGTATCACAATTTTAACGTTAAATATTTACTCAATTAAGTACTCTTGTTTATCTTATTTTAAGATATTCATTTGTAGTCACATGGAGTAACACCTTTTTAAGTTTCTCTTATGAAGTTATGTTAAAATTTTAGATATTTGGACTTTGTAAATATAATGACATATGATATGCATGGCGCTTGGGATGGAGAAACAGGACACAATGCTCCACTTCATAAGGGCCAAGGATATGAAAATGTAGCCAAAGATCAAGTATACTCTGTAGATGTTGCTTTGGAATATTGGCTTGGACAAGGTGAGATAATGTTTTAATTTTCCAAATATTTAAAGTTTGGTATATTTTGAAGTTCAGTAAGAATTTTCAATATTTTCATCTTACACTGCAATGTACACTGTAGTGAGACAGAAAAAGAGGGGTAATTACGTATTAACGCCACAGCTGTAGATTGGCGGCACTTAAAACCAGCCAAATCTGTAGCTGCGGAGGCGTATTATTTTAAGGATATTAGCCTTTATTGGATTATTCAAAAAATATATTTTATGCCACCGTAGCTACAGATTTGTCGGGTTTTAAGTGCCGTCAATCTACAGCGGTGGCGTTAATCCCTCCACGTCCGCGGACACGCCGGCGTGTCAGTTAACAATAGATTTCTTAGAGTTTCAATTAATTTCTTAGAAATTTATCTGGATGTGTTAATACGTAAGTACCAAAAGAGGCATAAAATCGTCCCATTAGTTGGAGGGCTCACGTCGTGCAATAATCGACTACTTAAGTCACACGTATGATACGTAGATACGTACTATTCACATTTAATATAGTATGCTTATTTCTAAAGTAATTACCACATTAGTATATATCAGTCCGATGATACATTACATCCACAGGTGAGTTCTAAATGTACTCTCAACTTAGCTAAAGTGATTTTTTTTAATTAAAATATTACTTTTTCATTTTTAAGAATTGTTGTGTATATTTTTCAGGTTGTCCACCTGAAAAGTTAGTCCTCGGCTTACCATTATATGGCCAAACATTTCAATTAACCAATGCCAATAACAACGGTGTAAGAGCTCCGTCTAATGGACCAGGAATTGCTGGCCCTTATACTGCCACTAACGGAATTCTTGGTTACAATGAAGTAATTAATATATTTTATTTTAAAGCCTACATGTAATAGAGCATCAGTCCGTCGTTCAGCCTTTAATCCTATGAAATATCAACCGAGATCATCAAAAAGTATTGAAAAAACCTCACTGACCTCACGTTTTGTAACTGATTCCAATTTTGTTTACCCTCTTAATGCCATTTTAATAAATAATACCTTCGAAAAGTTTTACATAAATTGGTTGTATCATTTGCTCTGGTACAGATTATTTGAATAAATCCTTTTCTTTGACAAAGCTAGATTAAATTTGATCGTTAAACTAGTTGGTTATACGTAAACGTTAAGGAGAGGTACATTTATATGGATTTTAAATATATAATAATATTTTTGTATTCTACTAGATAACTTTTTAACATAATAATATATATAGCGGAATAGTACTAAACACTTATTTAATTTAGTTTCATTTTTTTTATCTATTCACAGTATTGTCAAAAATTTCGAAAAGAAATTTGGGAGCAGCAGTACGACGCCTTGGCCAAAGTACCTTACGCTATTCAAGGACAAAATTGGGTGTCCTACGATGATGCTGATTCCCTTACAGCCAAAATTGATTATGCTTTAAAATATAATATATCTGGAGTTATGGTGTGGAGCATTGAGACAGATGATTTTCATGGAATATGTGATAGTGAAGATTTTCCCTTACTTAGATCTATAAATAGAGCTGTAGGACGATCTATTTTGCCTCCTCCTACTTTGACGCCACCGATATCATCAACGACCGTTACGACTACGCCAATATCTACAACTATATCTGAAAATCCAAATACTACAGTGGTTATAACAACCGTCCCTCCGACTACTTCAGGTATTTTAAGCTTACTTATATGAATTTGTATGTAAATTATAGGTATTTTCAATCACAAATTTTGTGTGATAGAAAAACCTAATTGGCTCGACCTGGAACTAGAACCCAGGATCTTCAAATCTGAAGGCATTCATACTAGCTACTAAAACAATTGGTTAAATATAATGGTTACGTATTATTAAAGCGTAGAAAGTTTTAAAAAATGGATTCGTTATTACTTTTATATTTTCAAATTATACTTTTATATTACAAACTTATAAAATGTTCATTTTCAGAAAACCCTGAAGAACTTATAACTTGTGAATTTGAAGGGTTTATGAGAAACCCGTTTGATTGTACGTCTTTTTATATCTGCGTTGCAGATTTAAATGGAGGATTGGTACCAAAACTTTTCCAATGCCCAGTTACCCTATATTGGGATCAAGAACGCAAATATTGTAACTACCCTGATCAAGTTCAGTGTGACATCAGATATTAATGTTAGTAATAAAATAATTATTTCCTCATTTTTATGTAAAATATAAATAATAAAACGGCCATGTAACAATAGCCTGCCTAATTTTAGCTAATGTCGAAAAAATACATGCTATCGAGGATAAATCTAATTATTATTTATTATCTTAACTTACCAGAACAAATTTTTATTTATTCTACACAGCCATTTTACCGGTACAATATTCAAGCCTGCTAGGTACCGGCGTAGAAGATAATACCAATAACACGCTTACCCTCGTTTTATTATATCCTTGTTATTTTACATTTTCTATGCCACTGTAAAAAATTATCATTAACTTGTGACTCCAAAGAATATTACATAATCTGTACAAAGCGCGCCTTCTCAGTATTTACTTAGATGTTACATTAAGATTCAAATAGGGTTTCATTCAATCTCAAACATTTTGAATGTTTCAATTGTCATATCCAGAGTAGGTACTGCCTTGAGGGCATCGAAAAAGGTGAGGCTCGAGCAATTTTCATCGTAAATGCTTTCTCAAAACTTAGAGTTATGATAAAATTGATGTGGTTTATTATTTTTACTGATATTATTACCTTATGCTATAAATGTGAAAATGACTTTTTTATTAATTTTATGCGATAAGTGTAATATACTAAAATAATATTATTGTACATTCCTTTGTGTCTTTTTCATTCATCGTGACATAAATAATGTAATCTATGTTTAACTGGCCGGTTTTAAAGCCATTTACTAGATAACAAAAATATTAAAGAATGCAAATCAATACAATTTGACAGGAGAGAGACGTAGACACTCTACATACTGCCTCATCAAGTGCACTCATTTTGCTTTCATTTTCTTACTAGAACTTTTTACATACTACATGAATTTATTCATTTAGTTTATGAATTATTTAATAATTTTAGGTATATTAATTTTAGGTTATTTTCATTCATCATTATAATTGAATATTTTTTTCTTCTATTATATAAAAACATATATAAGGTAAACTTTATATATATATATATATATATATATATATATATATATATATATATATATTAAATTTTGGATTTGTCTATAAGGATATATTTCTAACATCAGCAAAGATTCCTTTATATCTTATTTTAAATGACGGGATAACATCTTAACCCTTTCCAGGTAAATGCGGAGACTTTATCGTCTTTAACGTTGTATTCAATTCAAAGACTTCACAATAGTGATTTCAATCAGATTATATGAACTTGTAAGGACTTTAGCTAATTTTATACTATTATGCTTAAAATAGTTCAATTTCATTCAAATTTTTCAATATTTAGGACATAATATTGTGTGTTCAGCTGATAATAATGTATGTATGTATTGTGTGCAGTTATTTAAATGAAACATTAAATAACCTAAGCATCTTTAAAAGTTGCATTGAGGCATATTTTTTTAAATCCTAATAATGTATCCTCGAAGATAGTTCAACTGATCTAGCTACTATAAATTGTATTTTATGAAATTCGGTCCAGAGAAAGTCCTATAAAATTTTCTTTGACATAAAGCAAAATATCTACCTGTTGTAAATAAAAACTCCATTTGACGTTTCTAACTCTGTTCTTGTTCATGTTCTACTTAACTATTGCAAGTCTATCAGAACTTCTTGTTCTTGAAAGCATTATGTTCTTCTCAAATATATTTTGTGGTTAAGCACAATTCACACAAAGGTTCTAACTTTATGTCAAAGTCTATTGTATATGTTTACTCGTAGATTATAATCAATTAAGTCCTCATAAAGTATGTCCATAAGAATTGAAGCAGTTGAAACTTCACCACTACTGTGTGATTCGGGATACAAAGGCCTCTCACACTTACGTGAAATACAAGTAACAATGTATCAGGCACTTATCTCTATATAAATAGGCAAAGATAAAACCGTTTGGTACCTTTTCTCTTCTTTTTGTCAACCGATCCTCTTTTTTTGTTTTGCAACTATTGAAGAACTTTAGTCTTATAAATAAAAAAAAGTTGGAAATAGATTTTTTATATACGATTAATGGTAAAGACAAAATTGTTCAGAACCTTTTTCTCTTTCTTTTCTTTCTTTCTCAAAACCGTTTTTTTTTTGTTTAGTAGCTTAGCAATAAAAAAATGATTGTCGAATTTCGACCACTTGACAAACACGATAATAGTATATGATAATAGTACGAAGTAAATTTTAGACTGCTAAGTTTGCTTAAAATTAATAATATTAGGTAAATTTTTGACTAAAATATTTTGTTAACAAACTTTACTTTTAACTTTTTTTAATGAATACCTGATAAAAAGTAACTATGTTTTAGAAAATACTATTTTAATATACAAATATATATTTATTGCAGATAAATTCTCTTTTGTAGATGTCACATAAATTAAATCAAATATTATAACTTCAAATGAATTAAGAATGGAATTACAAATAAAGGAACTTTTGGTTGAAGGGGAGTGACTTCAAATTTTAAATTAAAAGTCGAAACGACTTGACTGTAATTATTCATGCAAATGTTCAAAGTTTGAAAGAATATGACGAGGTTAACGACGAACTCATATTTGGAGGAGAAAGGTTTTAATAATTTATTTTGAAGATATAGCCGTTTATAAAAATATTCCATACTATTTATAAATAATTATATTTGAACTAAAGCTACCCTCTAAAAATACCTCTAAAATCCATTTTTTTATGTTGGGAAATGCATTAACGCATACCACCTGTAGACATACAGGTAGTTATGTGGGACTCACCGGCTAGAAAACCCAGTACTACCCACTAGAACCCAACAAAACCTCCTCCGTCTTAATGGGGCGTCGCAAGATCGCAACGCAACGACGCGACGCCTCGACGGCGACGTTTGTTAAACATACTTTAGACATTTCATTGAAAGAAATTTTATTAGTGCAAGTGACTCGAAAAACGAAAAAGAACCACAGATCAAAATATTTAGCAGAAACAGGTAATATGAAGTATAAATATTATTAATAATTACTTTTCTCTTTAAAATGAATTCAATTATGCCTATACAGAAGAATTTCGTCTCTATATATATATATATATATATATATATATATATATATATATATATATATATATATAATATATATATATATATATATATATATAATATATATATATATATATATATATATATATATATAATGGAAATAAAATTGGTTTAAGAGAATATTTTACCTTAAAATGATCTGTTGATCAATTTTGATGTTAAACGAGTTGTTTTTGATTTAGAAAGGAATCTTATTTCTTTCATCCTTTAGTGTTACTGTGTTTATATATTAATAATAAACCAAAGTCATCAATTAGTAAGTAGGATCATGTTCTACATTTTTAGATAAAACAATAGAATAATTGATGCTTCCTCACAAATCAAAGTAAATATGTACCTAAGTATTCATTTTTTAAGTATATAAAATATTATATTTTATCAGAATTTATTTGATAATAATATAAAAACGTGTTATTTTGATAAGAAAATTCGCACCAAAAAACTTAAACTAATATTAGACTATATTTGGAGCGAAATTAGCTAAGCGTTTTGAAATAACACGTGTCGTAAAATTAGCATAGCTATCTACCGAGTGCAGATAAGCTGCAAAATGCTATTCCGAGATTGCAGCTTTTCATTTACATATATTATTATATGAAAAAATGTCAAAATTTGATTCTTCTCAGAAAAAAAGAAAAATTCTAGTGGAAAAATGTTTAGTGTAAACAACATTATAAAATTTCTTTTTTAAAGTGTAAGATAACATTTACTCACGAATTTATAACTGCTAGTTCATATAAATATACTCGTATACATGATTTTTTTTCTCTTCATTGTAGCATAGTTATTGCAAGATGTGTACAATTCATAAAATAAAAACTTTTTAACAAAAAAATAAAAACCGAGTTCAAACAAAAGCACTAAAAAGTAAAAAATAACTGATTGGTAGTTTTCATTTACTATACATACCTAATCAAATAATTTCGAAGTCGGTGTGCTTTGCTTTGTATCGGCTGGCAAATAATATAAAAAAAAATCCTGCGTAGACTAGTCTCAATGAGATTGACCGCAGTGGTCGAAATTGATCGAAAGCACATTAGAAGATTTTTTTTAATAATGTAAATTTCAAATTATGTGTATTGCCTTACATACTACAAGTATAAGTAATAAATTTAATGACTTTGTGTCTTGACTTGTCGATGCTAAGAAAATCAAAGGGCCTAAATCAAATACTTATTCAGCTACGTACTTTATCTGTATATGAAAATATAAGTTTGTATGGAAGCAGGAATACAACTATCATTACAGGTAATAATGTTTCATCTGGAAGCATTCAGTATTTTTCGAGAAAACCTTTATTTGCACTATCAAAATGTATGAAAGAAATTCGGGCTTCGGAACAATATGGAAACAATAGGCACCTGTAATATTGGAGATTAAGGTACACACGCCGCGTCAAGAGGCCGATATCAACAAGTTCGTGGATCGACGTAATAGGAATTGGTATTTCTCATTTGCTCTGACTTGGTATTATTTGGTTGTAGTTCTGGGGCATGATTTGTAATATATGAGGTATTATTTGGTATAATAAAAACTTTTTAACAAAAAATAAAAACCGACTTCCAGGCACTAAAATGTAAAAAATAACTAAACGGAGGTTTTCATTTAGGATACATACTAGATACCTATTCAGATATTTTCGAAGTCAGTGCCAGCCGATGCAAAGCAAATCTAATATATTTCGATACGTAAAATATATATTTACCTATTAGATATTCATTAAAATTTAAAATATTGTTGGCTGAATAAAATATTGTTGGATTAATTTAAAATATTGTTGGCTGGCACCGGCTTGAGCTTTTTGGCTTGAGCTGTATACTTAAAGGTGGTCCTGTATGTATACAGGTATGCCTAAATGCATTTCCCAACCTTAAAAAAATAAGGAGGTCATGCTCGATTAATATATGAGATGAATATTTATATTGACCATTATGATTT